AACAACCAAAATATTTATACTCAGAAGAATTTAACATCCCATAGGAACACGACAAGTAGAAAACAACACCCCGCCTTCCGCCTTCCATTTACTCCAGTAAGGTGCATTCCTTTCCCTTACTGATAACCCATCCCCAATAAGGTCATACCCAACAGCTTGAAAGGCTTCCACGCAATCTCCAAGTCTGCAACCTAGAGACGCTCTGCCTTCTACATGTTCATGAAGTTATAAACTTGTGCTGCATTCCTTTCCTGATAATGCTTCCGAGCCATTCTATAGTAGAGGGCGATAATAAGTTTGTATTGCTTAGGATCCTCTCCTATCCAGCGACAGTTCTTCTTTTACACCACCAATTTCCAAGAAGTAGGGGTGATTCACACCACCAAGTTCTTCTTAAGATGAAAACATCAATTTATCAGCCAAACAGCTAGATGAAATTATACACTCATGGCCTGACGCTCCTATCCTGCCTTCTTAGCAACTGAAACATATCAAGATTTATCATTAATATCACTTGACGATAATTTGCTCATATGAGATAGTATTTCAATACATGACCCAAACACACCCACCACCAAAAATATATTAAAAAAGGACACTTTTAACTTAAATTCCTTAAATTGAGGGCTATCAAGAGTTCAAGACTAGGAGCAACTCGGCAAAAGTAGAAGAGATTTAGTAGAATCAATTACTAATCATTCTCGGCCTAAGGTCTTTAACCATTTTACAAACAGATTAAGAACTAATGTTCAAATAGTTAATTGATACTTATCAAATAAAATAGTCAAACAATGAACATATAGCATAATAATTGAAACTGCAAAACAAAAAAAAGGTTGAACTACAAAACTAGAAAATAAAAAAATGTCCAAGATAAAATAAATCAAACATTTTGTGGAATACATCCTAAACAAGACATGATTAACCTAATCTTCAAAACAAGGCCATTGATAGTAATAATTTTCTTAGCAAAAATAAATCCATTTCTCGGTTCCAAATAAAGTACAATGAACAACACAAATTAAAATTAACTGAAAAACCTTGAATACGAGTCTTGCTCCTTTATATTGCTTTAGAAACATTTTAACGGTGCTAAGAAGTGTGTTCAGATCTTTCTTAAAATTCAATCAATGTTTAACCTCATGGTTGTAATTTTTGCTACAAACTTTCTTACATAATATTTGCCCGTACTGACAACTATCAAACCTGCCATGCTATAAAGAAACAATAGAATATAAGCAATGCAAATTTTAGGATTGAAAATTAAAAGTATAATAAACTATTTATTTAATAACATATTTACATGTGAGCTATGTGACCGCTAAGAACCTCAATTTGTGACTTATGCTGCTATAGATGTTGTCTTAGCAGTCAAGCTAAGACTTGCTCAACAACTTTAAGTACATTTCTTTTTTCATTTACAAGCAGCTCATGTATGTATTTATTCCATATTTCCCTCTAAAAGGTCAAAGGTTGAATGATGGAAAAAAGGTTGTCTACCACTGTGGTATAATTACAGCAACAAAGACATCTCAGGGAAGATCCACACTGAATGTGCATTATCATTTGATTTTGATCTTTGCATCAAATGCTTTTCTATTTGAGCAGAAATACATCCTCACAATAAAAAAAAACTATACATCATTATTCAATTTGAGAAACAAGAAAATTGGAATCTTGAACTAATTAACAAAAAAGAATCAGTCAAAAAAACAAAAACAAAAAAAGGAGAGTAAAAGTCTTGGATTTAAACAAAAAAAATCAGAGTAATTTCAACAAACATGTTATGAGCATAAATGTGAAATAGAGTAATTGAATTAACATTTCAATAGTTAACCCTACATTCTCTTACAATATTACAAAGTATTCAACTAATTAGTGTTATCACATACATTATACACTACAAATTATGAGAAATTTTAAATAAACAAAACCCTAAAGTGCATATAGTAGAAAAATCCAATAGGTTATTACCTCAATTTATGGGTTAGTTGATGGGGGCTTCTTGATCCAGCGGCTCAAATCGACCTCTCATCCACACACTTTGCACTGATTCCAGCCGCAAACACACCACTATTGAGCTCAGACTTGAAGACAAGTGACCGCCTAAGTGTTTATTTCTGGAATTTGGAAAGGGAGAAAAAAAGTGAAATGAGAAAGGGGAAAAGGAAAACTAGAGGAGGGGGTTGAGATGGAGATGCGTAACTTAGGGATGTGGGAGAAGGGAGTGGGAAGACAAAGGGTGAAAAAAAGAGGAATAGAGGTAAAAAAATTAAAGCCCATTTATAGTGTGTACATGGTGTGTACAAATGTGTATACAAGAAGCATTTTTGTAATGAATAATACGAAGTAACTCTTACAATAACTTTTACATGGAGGGTATAGAATGGTATTAAATCCCTTCTTTAATTTATAAGGGGTTATTTGAAGTAAGCATATGGTAGTTGGGCTCAGTGACGTGTTGCTATAATGCTATCCTATTTGCCGAGCCATCTCATCACCTATTTCTGGACAGATGTGCACATTAAATGTTCTTCCCACCAATTCTGAGTTTCCCACCAATTTTCATGACATGGTCAATCTGTCCACTGCATCTATGCATGTCAATGACCTTCTGTACAGTCGAGCGTCCGCATGGGGTAACCGAATGCAAGCACCGTTAGGCTTGTCCTTCTGTGGATACTGCTCGGCCCAACTAGGGCGTTCGCCTCCTCTCTTGATTGCTAGTGTGGGCATCTCGAGCTCAACCCTTCTCCGGTCTTGTTCGGCCTTCTGGCCCCGACCTTGTGTTTATAGCGGGCAAGGCAGAACGGTAGTCTAAAGATGTTGGGTCGGCCCAATATCCCAATACTAATTGCAAGATAGTCAATAACTAAATAGTTATAAATTTTGTTGTACAAATCAACAAGTCGGCCGGTATTTTAAACTTTGTAATTAGTAAAGTATGTATACTTTTATAATTTGTAATAAAAGTGGTATAACAAGTTATGATTAAAAAAGTAATTACTAATAATAGTTGGTTGTTATTAATATTATTGTTACTACTACTATTATTATTATTATTATTATTATTATTATTATTATCACTACGTATTATTTATTAAGAAATGATTTGAAACCAGAGTTGATTGTTCTGGTTGCAAATTTTAGGAGAATTAAACAAGACTAATGGACCTCTGGTTCCAAATCGGAGGCACTATGCTATTTCGATTCCTGTTTCGATTCTGAATAGAAAATCAACAGTCCCAAATTTAGTTCTGATTTAATTGTAAACTGAATGAATTCTATTATCCGTCTTGCAAGTATCGCATCAATTTCACAATTAATCCATGTCTTTTACTACTCTTGGTTAGGCCTGGACTCGGGCCGGTTCGGGCCTGGGCCCGGCCGGGCCTCGGGCAAGGAAAGTTGGGCCCGAGCCCAAACCGCCGGTGGGCGGTTCCGGTCCCGGTTCCGGGCCAAACCGGGCCGGGCCTAACCGGTTCTATTTTTTTTTTGGCTCTTCTATTTAACCCCCAACCCCTCCCCCTCAACCCCAAACCACCTCAAATAGGGATGGACTGGGCCGGGCCGAACCGGCCCGGAACCGGACCGGCCCGCTACTGTGCGGGCCCGAACCGGACCGGGCCCGGTTGGCCGGTTCCGGGCTTTTAGCCCGTTTTGGCGGGTCGGGCGGGCCGGTTCCGGGCCCTGTTTTTGTTGAACCGGCCCGGGCGGTTCGGGCCGGGCCCGGTTCATTTTTTTTTTTTTTTTTGGTTTTTTCAATTTTTTTTCTTTTCCTAGGGTAGAGCTGGGTGTTTTAGGGAGGTTTGGGGCGTGGGGGTGAGGGGGGGGTAGGGAGATAACAAGAAAGTCAAAAAAAAAAAAAAAAAAAAAAAAACATTGAACCGGGCCCGGCCCGGCCCGGCCCGGTTAGGCCCGGACCCGGTATCAACCCGGGCCGGTTCCGGGCCCATGTAACCCGAAAAAAAGCCCGCCCGGGCCCGGCCCGGAACCGGAACCGGCCCGGCCCGGGTCCATCCCTAACCTCAAATGGCCCAAAATACCTAATCCAACCCAAAACTTAAAAAAAAATCAAAAAAAAAAAAAATAAAAACCGGCCCGAACCGGGCCCGAACCGGCTGGGCCGGTTCACCAAAAACTGGGCCCGGGCCCAGACCGCCCAGCAGCCGGGCCGGGCCGGGCCGAACCGAACCGGTGGACCCACCGGGCCCCGGGCCGGGCCGGGCCAAACAGTAACCGGGCTGGGCCGCCCGGCCCGAGTCCACCCCTACTCTTGGTACATGACCTTTTCTACGCTCATACATCTTTCTTATACTCCCTCCGGTTCTTTTTAAACTTCAGTGTTTGACTTCACAGTTATTAAGAAAATAAAGTTGACTTTGCTGTAGAATACACTATTGAGACACTGTTTGGCACTGTTGAGACACTGTTTGACACTGTTTAGCACTGTTTAACACTGTTTTGATGTAGATTTCTTTGCCAAATAAGGAAATAAGGAAGTGTGAAGTTTATTTTGGACCATCCCAAAAAGGAAAGTGTGAAGTTTATTTAGAACTGGAGGGAGTATGACAATATTTATGGCAGTTAAAGACTTAAAGTTGTCAGAGAGACATCTAGAAAATGGACATTAAGACCACAAGTAATCAAGAAACTTTATTCAAATTCTAAAAGTGGACAAAATGAAACACACGGACTAAGGGAGTGTTTGCAACTGCTTCTACTTAAAAAAAGCACTTTTGGAGATGTATGGAAAAAGTGATTAGTAGGAAAAGTTGATAGTGTTTGAGAAAAAAGTGATTTTGAAAAGTAAAAGTTGGTAGTGTTTGATAAAATAAGTGCTTTTTGTGTAATAGAAAAGGGAAAAGCACTTTTCACACGCAAGCCGAAAAAAAGTAAAAATTGGTAGTGTTTGGTAAATAAGTGCTTTTTTAAACCAAAAACTGAGAATTGCTTTTTTTAAGTGATTGCAAACACTCCCTAAATGTGAAATTGAAATAAAACGTTCAAAAGTGGGGTATTATATTGCAATTGTGGGAGGAATAATGTACAACGCGGGTTATTCAACTCTAACGCGGTTATTCAACTATGACTCCTCCCATGCCAAGTCCCAACATATGAAGTCATCATCTGTTGCTAAAATGAAAGCCGAGTATTGAAAGGAAAATAAGACTTGAACGAGCAAAGTGGCTGCCCTATACTTCATACCCGGCCTTTCATCCCACTTATACTACTAGGTATTTAGGCCTCCACTCCACCTCTCAGGCAATTGCATGCTTAGAATATCCTCCCTGGGTAGCCTGCCTCGTTTGTAAGCGCGAGAAGGTTGGTCCGTTCCTTGTTCTTCCTAATGACTAGGTACGCAATGCTACTCAAGTAGACCAGTAATGCTGAGAAGCCCAAGACTCCGCACAACAGCTTGCTCGCGACCTTAAAATGGCTCGTCTTGAGGGTGGTAACTAATTTCTCCCCTAGGTAATAGATGTTGATTCCCATGATCAACGTCCCGACTACCCAAGTGATTGCAGAAATCTGTATTGACAAACAAGCATTGTGTAAGATAAAGAACGGTATTGATCACGGTCTTTCATGTTGATGTTCACTAAGGTTATGTCATGTCCTATATATAGGAGATGATGATCGACATTGGGTCAGGTTTCTGCCCAAAATATTCTTCTTGTTTCTTAGTAGCTTTTCTTTTTGGTTTATCCCGCAATAATCTTTGCATTTCGCAAAAAATTATGTTTAGTATTATTTCTCTTTTCATCTCAAATCTTAACACCGTATTTTCATTTTCAAACACACTACATGCCTTCTTATATGCCTATCTAGACAAAACGCGTGTGGGGTTAGAAGAAACGTACAACTTTGGAGTTGGCATGTGAGCCCATCTTGGTGTTGCTGCTGGTGAACTTGAGCAATGGAATGAGGGCAAACGGGAGCTCAAACGATAAGATCATCTATCATACCAATAATAAAATTTGGGGTCAATTTAGATTTGGAAAGAGAGAAAAAACAGGTGACCTTCCATTAGAAAGAAAACTTTGCATGTTGTGTGTGTGTGTGTGTCTAGGAAATGACAGAGCAAAGCAGGGCAAGGGAGAATACCGATGCAATAATGATCAAGTCACCCGCCCCAGCTGAGCCACCAATGATTGAAACTACTAGACTTGGAACAATGGCTAAGCCCCGAGTAAGCATGTTCCTAATCCAAGGCTTCAACCTTAAATCAAGAAACCCCTGCAACCTCTCCAAGGAAATAAACAAATAAATGGTGGTAAAAACAACCGCTGAGGGAGGACTAAGTAGCTAGCTTGAATGTATGTAAATAGCCTGCCGCCTGCCAGCCCAATTGATGGGAATAAGAAAACATATTGCTTGCCTGCATAACATATTGTCCAGCATAAGTCCCCGTTATTGTAGAGCTCTGTCCCGATGCTAGTAATGCAATCGCAAAAATCTTTGAACTCCAATTGCCTAAAACATTCTGTACAATATGATTTGAAAATATATAACCAATACCACACACAGAAACCTAAAAGAGAGAAGAAGATTGCTTACTTTCAGTAAAAAAGAGGCTTTGTTGAGGTCCAGGTCAGAGCAGCTGTCCCGATACTCCTTGCTCAAATCCGGGGAATTGCAAACTGCGCCGCTTACCGAGATGACACAAATGTTAATAATAAACGCCACTATTAAGGCTATGCCACTCTCGATCCTGTAACATGTGCATGCCTCCTGCAAAAATAATTCTCACATCCGTTGTATGCTTGAAAAATATCCATAGTGCTTAGAAGGGCAGCTGATTGGTGCCTAGAACCTAGGGGCGGGCATTGCTAGAACAAATGCTAAATGTATAAGCACGCACAATTTTTCCCAAATGCTTTGGACAATATTCAAGGATAAAAATTCCAAAACTGTGCGGTGGTAAAGTGCCTGTGTGCATGTTTTAATTTATAGTCCCACAACTTTAAGAACTAGCAGGAATTTTGTCCCATATGTAAGCCAATACTTTAATATTCTGGAAAACGTTTCTTGTTCTTTTTTATCTGCTTTGGTTTTTTCACACTTCCTCCGTATTTAAAAGTTTGCTACACTTTCCTATTAGGGATGTATTTAAAAGTTTGCTACACTTTCTCTTTTTGGCAAGTTTTCCTATAAAAATACCCAACTACCCTTACTTTTTCTACTTTTTATCTTCTCTTTCCTACTTTTTCACCTTTTCTCCTACTTTTTCTACACTATTCATTACCCCTACTATTTCCCCCTTAAATATTGTGCCAAAACCTAGTATATAGTGATCTTTTAAATACGGAGGGAGTTATATTTTATAAACTTTTTTATTTTACTTTTGCAGATTCTTTTTTAATGTTTCAGGCGGAAAAAGGGACAAAATATGGTCAGTTTATTAATGTTGTGGGATAAAATTGGTGAATTCCGAACTTAAAAGGGTTAAGTTACAAGATTAATTAACCCTGCTAGTTTCTTGAATTTGTAAGACTACATTGGGTAATTCCATTTCAACATACAGTACCTCTTGCGCACAGCACTTCAGCTTAAGAAAATTCTGGCCTACATCTTTAATCATTTGAACACAACTAGAGCTTGTATTGCTCACTATGAGCCTAAATAAGCTGGCCCTTTAGCAGACATTTACATTTCTTTTAGAATGGTGCACCGATAAGAAAGGAAAGTTCAGCTACAGCCTAGATACCACACATTTGCAAAGAAAGGAAAAGAAACACATACATTAATTCCATTTGTAGATCTTGGGATTTTTCTTGAAAGAACGAGAGCGGAATGGAGAAAGAGGTTGTGCCTAGAACCATTGGAAAAGGAGTATTGACATGTGAATACTGCCATAATTCAACATCCGGAAAAGATAAAGAAACACAAACACGCACTTACGGCATAACCATAGCACCAAGAAGGGAAATGGCAAGCTTGGTAGCCCCGGTTCCCTTGAGTTGAGGAACAAACAGCCCTTCAACAACTTCAGATGATTCTGGTTTTGCGTATCCAAGCTCCACACAAAAGCACACCACGATAGTGAACACTAAGAATGCTATGAATATCTCAAGCTTCCTCACCTGCAAACCAAGAAAGCCCAAATTAAGGAACATGTTAGAGCACTTTCAGACGTAAAATCATCGAAAATGAAGAATTATGGGACCAAATATGCATTCCCCCCCCCCCAATGTTTTGCAAGGTTATGCGTATGTACTACCTACCCCATATTGTTGTAGCAGCAGCAGAATCAATGTGCTGAATCCTGTGATAAGTACACCACACCACAGAGGTATTTTGAAGAGCATGTTCAAAGCAAATGCCGTTCCAATCACTACACACGAACACCAGACCCAACATAAGTTTGCAAAGTTCTCCGTACTCTAATAAATATATTAGAGCCCGTTTGGTAGCACGAAAATCGGCTGTTTGAGCTGATTCTGCTGAAATTTATGAAGTTCTGGCTGAAATAGCTACATTGGCTGATTCTGCTGATTTAAGAAAAAACTACTACCTTCGTCCCCTTTTAGTTTGCCAACTTTGACTTTTCCAGTCAAAGATGATAAACTTGGATCCATTATTTTAACTAATATATTTATGTAAAAGTTAATAAATTTATACTTTTATGATAGTATTTTCAACAAAGAACATATCCATATAATTTTCTTATTATCAATATTACCGTGTATAAATATATAATTGGTCAAAGTTGAACAACTTTGACTTGAAAATTTGTGTTTGGCAAACTAAAAAGGGACGGAGGGAGTATTTTAAAAATATATTTTATTAATAAAATGAAGAAAAAATTGTATGTAAAAATAGTTAAAATCGCCATTGACAGTAACTTCAGCCAATACAGCCAGAATAGTAACTCCAACCTTACTTTTTATGTTTATTACACAATTCAACGCGCGAAAGCAAAAATTACGTGTTTGGTGAAAAAGTTGGCTGATAAGCATAATCCGAAAAACAGTGTTGTCAAACGGCCTCTTAGTCTTTGTTGTGGCACGCGAATTATGACAACAGTTTGGTTGAGTTTTCTTTACGAAGAGATGAAAACTATCCAAGAATATAAAAAGAAGTATATTGAGGAATAGTTCAGATTAACTAATCAATGTTCTAATTATTAACCTTCAGGAATGTCACATGCAACAATGGCAACTTCGGCAAGAACCCATAGGAGGAAATTTGGCACCTTGTGGTATTCCTTTCTACAGTGCTCTGCTAAATGCTTCCCTGCCAAATGTGTGTGTGTATAAATCAAGGGCATATGTACGTACATATCCATGTAATTATATGGATTAAGAAAATGTGACACCTGTGACAACTCCGAGGTTTGCTGCAAGTGATTGGATTAGAAGGGCTGCAAATGATGCCAATAGTATGATCCACAGTAACTGCAAAATAAAGATATATACATAAAATGCTACTACGAGGATGTTCCATGTATTGTCATGTTGACGAATAGAAGTACTTAAATAGTACGAATCATAATCCATATCACATAAAAAAAGTTATGTTGTTGATTTGCATGATAGGTGCATAAAACATATGCTTACCCCATATTTGTATTGGGCCCCGGCCTGTAGGTCTGTCTGAACTGCAAACCATATTTTTTCAAGTAAGAAAATGGTTACTCAAAGAAAAGGGAAAAAAAATCTTTGTAAAAAGCAATACCAAATAAAAGAGATCATACAGTTTCCTGGGTCAATGTAAGCTATACAAACAAGGAAGCCTGGACCCAAATATGCAAAGAAGTTTTTCCAGCTCGTCTTCTGTATGCGTATAATATATATATAAGAACTACATAATAAGTACCATCCATCTTACAACTCATGACAATTTAACAAAATGTGCAAAAGAAATTCATGCCAAATTCTCCCTTGTTGCAATATAAAATAAATGTTTAATGACTAATGTCCCATTTGGTAGTAAAGGTAATGTCATTGATGCGACTGTTGCACTTTTTTAAATGAAAAGCGATACCAAAGAGAACCTAAGTGCCTAACTCTCTTTCTTCCTAAATTTTCCCCTCCACCATCCAAAAACATAAGCTGAAGCCAGTGAAGGTCATCCATGGTGTAGCTTACAGTGATATTCATATCATGTTCAGTTATCTTCGCAGCATGCACCATAAAATTTAACAAACACATACGACTAGAAAAAAGGTTCACTCCTGACACTAAACATACTGAAGGATAACTAGAAATGATTTTTAAATGAGAATAGTACTATCCCCAAATGGGCCCTACCTGATACCCGTTATATGAATTACAAACAGAAGAACATGATCAGACATCGAGTTCATCAGGTCCATGAAAATCTTTAACACAAAGAAAGAATAGACAGAGTCCAGGTGTAAAAAGTATTCTCATGTCAAGACCAAGAAAAGAGTGGTCAGTAGATAACAGACAAACAAAAGGGAACCCACCAAAAGAAGAAGAAGAAGAAACAGAGGCAATTCCACTAATTTAATACTCCCTCCGTTTCTAAAAGAACCTCACACTTTCCTTTTTTGGATGTGCCAGAATAAAAGTCACACTTCCCTTATTTCCTTATTTGGCAAAGAAATCTACATCCAAACAGTGTCAAACAGTGCCAAACAGTGCCAAACAGTGTCCAAACAGTGCCAAACAGTGTCTAAACAATGTTTTCTACAGTAAAGTCAATTTATTTCCTTAATAATCGTGAAGTCAAACCGTGACTTTCTTTTAGAAACGGAGGGAGTATCAGAATATGTTCCGTTTTCTTTATTTGTATTCCCATTGAATGAAAGGAAAGTGATAGCATCATAGCACCGAGTCACAGACACATAAACTCTAAGCGACTCTTTTGCAAGCATCTTCTTTTTATGTGGATAAATACGAATCGTCCTCTCAGCCAATTTCATTTTACTAAACCGTGGCATATTTTAGGTGGATGGATGAGAACCGTCTAAACATGTAAAATATAATGCAAAAAAGAATTGCTTTTTTCGGTTAAAGTTATGGAAGAACAGTAAAGCCCATTAACTTGATGTTTTACATTTACTTGGTTTGATTAAACAATGTTTAATAATTTAACCTATGAGGCCAATAGACACGAACTAGAAGTTTTCTTAGGCTAGGGCTATACTTGAACAAATAATTACTACTTGTCAAACCCAGACTTCTGGATGCCCTTGGGAGCATATTTCAATCCAGATGGAATGGGATGAACCATAAAGCCTATCCTTCATAGATTATCATTTTTACTAAGAGGAACACGACAATACTCTTCAAGACGTGATTTTTTCCCCAAGAAACACGATAGAGCACTGTATGTTGTCATGGGTGAGAGAAAGAGAGACTGACATCAGCAACGACAATCTGGTCGTATTCAATGAGTGGCTCACTGGGGAGGCTCCGATTACCGGTGCCGGTCATGAACTGAGATTGGGTCGGTTCTACTAAAGCAGCCATTTTCTCCTGTCACCTTTTTCTCTAAACCAACGCTTCAGCTCAGCGACTCTTTCTTTCAACAGCAAAGGAGACGAGTCAGATCAGTAAATAAAAAGGCATCAGGCCCGGGGATCCTAAAGTCAGAGTAATAATATTGTAAGTTGTAACCGGCCAGTACCTAATATTGCGTTCGTATGATGTACATGTATATATAGAGAAGTGAAAGAATAGTAGTACACGTGTAGGTGCAGATATTCTTATTTCAAATAGCACATTTGATAATCATGTTTTTCCGTTTATCAAGTTTATCAGTTAATTTTGCACGCTGAATTGTGAAATAATAAGAAAAATAAGGTCGAAATTACTTTTCTGACTGTATTGGCTGAAGTTACTATAAAAAATTATTGTAGCTATTTTTTCATATATTTTGTTCTTTATTTTATTAATAAAATATATTTTAAATATAATTTTTTCATATATCAGCAGAATCAGCCAATTTAGCCACTTTGGTTAGAACTTCATAAATTTTAGCAGAAACAGTCAATACAGTCGATTTGATATTACCAAACGGGCTCTAAAATGTGTGAGATACTTCTAAAGTTCCTATAAAGGAGCAAATTAGCGCGTCAATGTGATATGAGTTAAAATAAAAATACTATGATCTAAAATTGAATATAATGCATTTTTACTATGATATAATCACAACAAATAATAAATTTGTGTTTGTTAAATAACTATATATTAAAGTGTCCATCATCATATATTATATATTTATTTACTCTTTAGTCTATATGAAGGTTTTTTATTGCAGTAGGGTTGCGATTGCGATCACTCGGTTGCGGCTATTGCGGCCAATGTAGTGTAATTTAATTTTACGTTCGAACGAAATAAGAAACAAATAGTGTTGATGTCCTGAATTCCTGATACTATCCTATATGGCCCCGTTGCGGTTTCGTAGTAGATTTTCCCCGTAAATTGAAATTCCACCTCCATTGTGGTTCGATGAGGTTGCGCTATGGAATGTAACCTCAATATAATAAATTCAATATAATTGTGTAAAAAAGAAATACAAACACATAAAGATCAGACTCGAAATGCAAATATGACTATTTTTTTACTAAGCAATGTTTGTGTTAGATCAAAATGGAAAAAAACATATTTTTATTGTTCCAAGATCGGCAATTATCTATATGAAATAAGATGCAATTTTGCGTGTTAAAGTTTTTAATAAAATGAGAAGATGTGTATGAACCTTACAGCTTTGACGGCGGCTCAACCGCCGCCACCACCTCCTAATGCCTGGAATGGCAGATCGTTTGCAGAAGTTGAATAATAATTCTGGGTCTTTCTCTACGAAGATCCATTCTCGTTTTAAGGGTTTGCCGTCTATTAGCTTTCCAGATAATGAGGCAGAAATTTTAGCTAATAGACATATACATTCTCTTGTTGGTTATTTTTCCCATGGCCGTCCCAGTCTCGATGTGCTGAGGAAGAACTTTGAACGGTATGGTTTCAAAGGTTCATTTCATTTGGGAGTCCTGGAACGTAAACATGTCTTGATACGTTTTGATCGAGAAGAGGATTATCTTCGCTGCTAGAATAGATAGGTTTGGAATATTCTTGGTAAGGATATGAGGGTGACTAAATGGTCACCTAGTTTTCGGCCGAACGTTGAATCTCCTATAGTCCCAATTTGGGTTACTTTTGAGGGCTTGCCCATTCATATACATGATAAAGCGAGCTCTTTTTTATATTGCTGGCCTGCTAGGAAGACCTTTGAGATTGACCTTACGAAGGAGATGCCACAGAAGATCTAGATCAATTGTGGCAAGATTGGTTTTTCTCAATCTGTGGTTTATGAAAATCGGTCCTCATATGGTTCTCTTTGCTTCCATTTGGGACATTCTGATAAAAACTGTCCCATACATTCCAATCATCTTACAAAGGAAGGCTCAGCTCCCAAGGCCCTGCCTCCTAAGGAGATCACACTGCCTAATGAAGCTTCATTGCCAAAGGAGAGATGGATTATCAAACATAACTTAGACAATATCCCAAGGGCAGACAAGGCAATTATTACATATCAGGATAAAGGGAAGGGGGTTATTCAATTAAGCATTAATACTGATCAGCCTTCCTCCTCTAACACTAAGGAGGATGACTCTTTGGTGGAGGAAATTGTTTTGGAGGATCCACCCACTCCTAAGCTGCCATCCAAAAGTGTTGCAGAATCTGAGGCTGATCACTCTCAGAAAATGGACATCCCGATCCCTTCTATTAAAAAACCTGCACAATGGAATTAGGAGCTGCAAGTTTTACTTCAATCTGACATTCCAGGAATTTCAAAAGCTAAAGTTCACTCAATGAAGGACAATCTGGAACTCAAACCTCTGTTGAAGCATTTGGATGTTGATCTTGAATTGTTAGCTAAGCAATATGATTCAGATGGAGAACATGCCGAAGGCCCCTGGAGAATTGGCAAGAGATTTGGTCTGACATTGCTTCAAGAGTGGCTATTATGGAAAAAAACTCCTAAAGCAAAGGAAGCTCTTTCTAATGAAATAACTGATTCTTTACCTGATTCTTTGCAGGGGGGGGTGTCTGACAAGGTTGGTGCAGATCAATCCTTTGTGATTGCATCTGAGAAAGCTGATGTTGAGCACTCATTTGAACTTGAACAGTCTTCATTAGCTATTCCTGCACAGGTTATTCAAGAAGGTGTTGAAACATTAACCAATGCTACATCAAGGAAAAATAAAAAGAAGGAGGACTCGGAGGTTCCAGCTAGAATAACCAGAAATGCTGCTAAGAAGAAAGAATTTTCAGAATCTGTTGATTCTGGGTCACATGCAAACCCTAACCTTTTTAAATGAATGCTCTTTTTTTGGAATGCAAGGGGTCTCAGCACTGCCAGTGCCAGACTTCATTCCCTTTTTTCTAAATGGCATTTAAATATTCTTTTTATTATGGAGCCTCTTTTCCATTGTTCTAGAGCTAATCACTTTATGTTTGAGTTGGGTTTCCAAAAGGTTGGATTCTCTTAAGTTAATAAAATATGGATTTTCTGGAATCCTAGTGTTATTTCTATTTCTGATATGATCTGGAATCCTCAATATGTACATATGAAAATTAAGACTTGTAAGGAATAAATGTAATTAGATTTTGATGATGCTAGGATAATTAGATCAGAATTTTAGAGTACCCCCATAAAGATTTCATGTATTAGAAATTTTCAGTTGTAAGCATTAGTATAGTCGACATAAGTGTGGATCTGATCAGAGCTGCTCTATGAGAACTGCTTTCAGAGTTGCTCTCGGAAGACCTGAGAGTTGCTCATCAGAGAAGCATCAGAGTTGCTCTTCAGAGACTCATCAGGAGTCTACATCAGAAAGCCATCAGAGTTCGATGAAAAAGCTTCATCAGAATTCAACTTCAGAGAATCATCAGAGTTCGATGTTAAGCTTCATCAGAACCCAACTGAATCAGAGCTGCTCATGAAAGCATCAGAGTCCCGATACCAGAGCTCGACTTCAAGTTTTATCAGAATCCAACATATCAGAAGAGCTCGATCAGAGTCCGACTAACACTTAGAAGAATTTCAAGGAAACTTCCAACGGCTGTGAAACTAACGGCTAGAAGAGTGTGCATGAAAGGAAAGCTCTTTAATGCTCATTTAATGAGCCTGATACGCTGTGGAGTAATTGCAGATGATTGACCGAGATTCCTGGAGAATATTATACAAAAATAGAAACCTGCCAAAACTGCGGGTCCAACCGGTCAACTCCACAGTGTGCGCATTCAATGCAGTTGTCTCCTCCTCCAACGGGCAGACAACCCCAGTATATAAGCTACACGCTGAAGAACAGGAAGATAATTTTGCGACAACCATTATACTATAAGCATTCTTGAGATTCAAACTCCATAATCATCAACTAGACAAGCTTACGTTGGGAAGATTCAAATATCCATATCCTCCAATCCCAACACACAGCAAAGTTCGTCCTGTTCTTCAACCTTCAAGGACTTCAACTACATATCTTTTGTAACGAAGCAAGTTGGAGAAAACTCTGTTTTCAAAACAGCTTCTGCAAAGAAGGGCGTTCAAGTAACTGCAGTAGTGAAGTGGTGATACTTCCGGGAAGCTGAGTGAAAGGACCAGTCATCAGGAAGCAAGACTGCATCCCGGGTGACAACTAGACTTGAAGAAGGCGTGGAGAACTTCTTAAGTGCTAGGGACTAAGCTTTGTAACCGTTTACCTCAAAGCTAGTGGAACAGTGGACTAGAGGAACGCGTTGTTCCTTGAACCACTATAAAATCCCCGGTGTCATTTACTTTATTGCATTTACTTTCTGCACTTAGGATCTCAACTGATTAACTCTAAGACTTGGAATCTGTGTTCAGCAGATCTTGTTTTCAGAGTTATCAGAAAGGCATTTGCCTTAGTATTTTTGAGGCTACCCGGAACTCTTATCCGCTGCTAGACCAGTTCTGATCATCAGAACTCGACCCTCTCTGTCAAGTCAACTCTGACTTAGAGAAAAAGTTTGAAAAACTATAACAGTCTATTCACCCCCCCCCCCCCCCTCTAGACTGTTACCAACTTAAACGGGACCAACAAGTGGTATCAGAGCCTCCTTGTTCTTGTAATCTTTTAGGTTACACCTTGAACAAAGATCCACTTGTTTCTAGCCTCTTTATTTGTTAATTATGGATAACTCTCTTGCAAAGCACCTCATGTTTACAGATCAGAAATATGATGATTGGAAGATAAGGATGAAGGCACATCTATGTGCACTTCATGATGAAATGTGGGAAGTCTTGGAGAATGGCCCGTTCATTCAGTTCATGAAGGTCAATCCTGCTCATTCTACTGATAACTCTCAGCCCCAGATGATTGAGAAGGCCAGGTCTGAATGGACCAAGGAAGAAAAGAGACAATACAACCTTGACAACATAGCCAAGGACATTCTCTACAAGGCCATTGATGAAAGGTACTTCAACAGAATCAAGAAGTGCAAGACTGCAAAGGAAATCTGGGACAAGCTGGATGAGATAGGTGCTGGAGATGAACAAGAGAGAGATAACAAGCTGACCATAGCAATGAAAAAGTTTGATGACTTCAAACTTCAGCCAGAAGAATGCATTGCCAAGATGCATGAGAGACTGCTGATCCCC